GACTGTGGGTCTCTGCAGGCATGTTTTACAGAATCAGAGCAGAAAGCATTTCTAGGAGAGTGGATGCTAAACATTGTACTTAGTCGCTCAGCACATTGTGTCTGACATTGTGTCCGACTCTTTGTGATCCCATGAATGGTAGCCCACCAGGCTTTGTCCATGGGATTCTCCAGGCAAGAACACTGGAGTGGGTTGCTGTTTTCTTCTCCAGAATGCTGAACATGCTCTTACCCAAACCAAGGGATTCTAACCATCTCCATGCCATCTCAGAAGTCCTAAACTTTGGTTGTTAAACCAAGTGGATAGTCAGCTCATCCCTTTGAGCAGTGCCTCTCTGCACATATCATAGGGGAGATGGTCGTTTCCATATTAACTTCTCAGTAAACAGGCCAGTTGCATAAAGTGAAAGTGAAGTTGCTCATTCATATCTGACTCTTGGTGACCCTATGGATTGTAGCTCACCAGTCTCCTCCATCCATGGGATTTTCCAGACAAGAGTCTTGGGTTGGTTTGCGTTTTCTTTTCCAGGGGATCTTCCTGACCCAGGGATCAAACCCAGGTCTTCTGCACTTCAGTCAGACTCTTTACCATCTGAGCCACTAGGGAAGGTGCAGCCAGTTGAATATCTCCTTATGAAGGTGTTGACTGCAGCATAGGAAACTGAATGTGACCTGCTGGGCAAAGACCTACATTGTTTTAAATAATAGGATAATGTTGTCACTGCTGTTGTTCAGTCACTTAGATGTGTCCAACTCTTTCTGACCCCATGGCCTGCAGCATGCCAGGCTTCCCTGTCCTTCACTATCTCCCAGGATTTGAGTTTCTTGAACAGAGGAGCCTGGTGGGCTACAATCCATGGGGTCACAAAGAGTCAGACACCACAGAGCAACTAACCTGAATTAGGATAGTGGTTCTTCCTTGATTAAAGTCTTGCATATTGAATTTGCTAAGAGTAATTATAAGGAAGAATTATCCAGGCCATCCTAAGAAAAGCAGCAGGTTATCATAACAGTGTGGACTACACATGACTGGGAGAACCCCAGGAGTCAAGTCACCTCCTGCCTTACACAGACCTTGTCCTGTTCTCCCAAGACATCAAGCCCCTCTAAAGTCCAGGTCTCTATAGGTTCTCCCCCAGATTTCCATAAAGGGAAAATTCCTACTCTTATGGATGTAGTATTCTATTTCCTCTAACTCCATTACTAAAAATATCAACAACCTCAGATATGCAGATGATACCACTCTAGTGGCAGAAAGAAAAGAGGAACTAAAGAGCTTCTTGATGAAGGTGAAAGAGGAGAGTGAAAAAGCTGGCCTAAAACTCAACTTTCAAAAAACTAAGATCATGGTATCTGGTCCCATCACTTTATGGCAAACAGATGGAGAAAAAGTGGAAACAGTGACAGATTTTATTTTCTTGGGCTCCAAAATCACTACAGTGACTGTACCCACAAAATTAAAAGATACTTAGTCCTTGGAAGAAAAGCTATGGCAGACATAGACAGCATATTGAAAAGCAGAGACATCACTTTGCCAGCAAAGGTCCATATAGTCAAAGCTATGGTTTTTTTACAGTGGTTATATCTGAACATGAGAGTTGGACCATAAAGAAGGCTGAGTGCCAAAGAATTGATGCTTTTGAATTGTGGTGCTAGAAAAGACTCTTGAGAGTCCCTTGGACTGCAAGGAGATCAACCCAGTCAATCCTAAAGGAAACCAGCCCTGAATTTTCACTGGAAGGACTACAGCTGAAGCTCCAATACTTTGGCCACCTGATGGGAAGAGCCAACTCACTGGAAAAGACTCTGGTGCTGGAAAAGATTGAAGGCAGGAAAAGGGGATGACAGAGCATGATATGGTTTGATGGCATCACTGACTCAATGGACATGTATTTGAGCAAACTCCGGAGACAGTGAAAGATAAGAAAGCCTGGTGTGCTGCAGTCCATGGAATCGCAAGGAGTTAGAGATGACTTGGTGTCTGAGCAACAATAACAGAAGTCAAAACACTGTGAATTATAGTAAAGGGCATTTTCTGTGCATATGGAGCATGCAAATATCCATTATGATATTTAATTGAGTCTGGAAATCATAAAAATATGCCTGACAAGAACATACATATAAAATATTTCTGATTATCTTGAACCCCTCTGAACTTTACTTGCTAAAGAAGCTGCTAGAATATCTGAGAATATCCAGTTGTTTTCTTCAGTTGTCTGATTTGTAAAATAAGAGTGTTTGAATTGAATGATTCTCTAAAATCTCTCCCACTTTACAATCTTAACGTTTAATATCATGGAGCAAACCAAGTCACCACAAGCTTGCTGATGACCTTTGAAGATAGCATGGCTGTCCTTTTCACCAATAGAGTTACAGCAACTTGCCCTCTTGATATTTCCTAGACATCGACTTCTAACCAGTTGGTCATGTCATTGATCTTGAGATCTACCTATTCATCCGGATCTTTTTAGGAGTTAAGATCACATGATTCAGATGCTGGAAAGGGTATGGAGGAGAAGAGAACCCTCCTATACTGTTGGTGGGAATATAAGTTGATGTAGCCACTGTGGAGAACAGTATTGAGATTCTGAAAAAACTAAAAATACAACTACCATATGGTCCAGCAATCCCACTCTTGGGCATATACTCAGAGGACCATAATTTAAAAAGATACATGCACCCCAATGTTCACAGCAGCAGCTGTTTACATTAGCTAGGACATGGAAGCAACCTAAATGTCTATCAGCAGATGAATGGATAAAGAAGATGTGATACATATATACACTGGAATATGACTCAGCCATGAAAAGGAATGAAGTAGTGCCATTTGCAGAGACATGGATAAACCTAGAGACAGTCATTCAGAGTGAGGTAAGTCAGAATGAGAAAAACAAGTATCATATAATATCCTTTGTATGTGGAATCTAGAAAAATGGTACAGATAACCTTATCTGCAAAACAGAAATAGAGACACAGATATAGAGAACAAACATTTGGATACTAAGGGGGAGGGAGGATGAATTGGGGGATTGCGGTTGACATATACATACACTACTATGTATAAAATGGATAACTAATGGGAACCTGCTGTTTAGCTCGGGACCTCTCCTCAAGGGCTCTCTGGTAACCTAAATAGGATGGAAATCTTAGAAAGAGGAGATACATGCATATGTATAACTGATTCATTCTGCTGTACAGTAGAAACTAACAACATTGTATAGCAACTATACTTCAATAAAAATGAATTAAAAAAAAGATCACAAGGTTTGATCATCTGTCTCCAAATTAAGGTAATTCAGTTTTTTTTTCCCCTAAAATAGGAAAAGTAACAGAAGTTGTTCTCCCTTACGCATTTGAAACTTCACTTGTTCTGGTATCAGTTTCAACGTTCTTTCTTTCTTTGCCTCTGACGAAGAGAGCACATAGGCCTCTTTTTCATCCACCTCCAGCCGCCCAGCCCTGGCCTCCGGGCTCTGCCCCACCTCATTCTCTCAGGACTTGAAGGGTTTCCCTTCCTACAAGGTCTGTCTGCTTTTGCAGCTAATGCTTACCCTGCTTTCCCAGGGTGCATTCTTGGTTGGTTGCAGGTATTGACATTTTCTCTTCTTTTTCTTTAGAGGGCTTACTTTCTGCGTGCTCCTGTGAAAAAAAGTGTGGTGCAAATATTCAGTCTCTCCCTGATATCACAGTTGACTTCATAAACAGTGCCCTGTTCCCCACATGAGGGGAGAAACATGAAAGGAGTTGGCTGTTTTGATCCAGCATTCCTTTAGCAGATTAGTTGGCATGTTCAGAAGGTGCAGGCAAATTTAATCCAGAAAAGTATAAAAGTTCATGACCAGTCTGAGCAAATAATTGGAAAAAAAAAATCCTTTAAAAGGCTAAGGAGAGGTTCAAGGCTCTTTGAAAGGCATGATCATCTTTTTAAATGTCAAATTCCACCCACTAAATTTCATGCTGTTGTTTTTACCACTCTTGTATTTTTTTAGCATTATATTTAATTTTTCTATTTTAAAACACTGAAATCCCATCCCTCTGCTTTCTCTGAGACCAAACGTAACATGAAAATACCACAAGAGACTCAGTGGGTAAAATGCAAACAGGTTATGACAACACACACTGACTGTTGTGTATCTTTCCCTTGGAAAGGTAGTATTCAGAGGCTTGGTGCTCTTTAACAAAGAAGAAGAGAAACCTTTACCTTTCAAATACCACCACCATTTGATCAGAAAAATCAAGATGGCCCCAGTTTTATTTCAGTGTGGTTAACTTAACAACTTTATATGTTTCCCCTTTCTGGAAGCCTGTTGACTGAAAAGTATGAGATTACGAAGTCATAGTTGAAGTGTGATAAACTTAAAGTAGAAACTAGTTATCTCAATAGTTCAAGGTTTTATAATATTCTTAAAGCTACCAGATAATTTAACAGAATAGCAGAAATATTGCCCTGAAATCAGAAGACTTCGATTCTGGTTCTAGCATTGACTGTGTCTCACTGTGTAACTTTGAGGAGATGCTCAGACTTTCTCTGAATCAGTTTTTCCACCTGAAGAATATGGAAGCAAAACAAGAGCATTTCTGAGATAACTTTCTACTCTTTGAATTCTCAGCGCAATTCTCTTTCATTGACTTTTGTCAGAGATGCATGAATTTTCAGTTTATACTGAATGGAAATGTTCTCTTCAGAGGGTAAGCTTGGCTATATCTAAGCTTCACATGTTGGAGTTTTATTTTCCTCTTTTTATTAGGCTTCTCTACATGTTGTTCAGCTGACTCTTTGTAACCCCATGGACTGCAGCATACCAGGCTTCCCTGTCCTTCACCATCTCCTGGAGTTTCCTCAAACCATGTCCATTGACTTGGTGATGCCATCCAACCACTGCATCCTCTGTCGCCCCCTTCTCAACTCCTACCTTCGATCTTTCCCAGCATCAGGGTCTTTTCCAGTCATTCGGCTCTACATGACAGCCTATTAATTCCAACTTGTCCTTGTGTTTATAGGAGAAGATTCTGCTGTGGCTTCTTCAGTTCATGCAAGAGCAGGGCATCTCGCTGGATGAAGTGGACCAAGATGGTAACAGTGCTGTTCATGTGGCCTCACAGCATGGCTACCTCGGGTGCATACAGGTACACAGGCCCCGCTTCCTGGAGAAATGAGGGCCACAAGTAGTAAAACAGAAAATGGGAATTTAGTTCCCTCGGAGAGAGTCTAGATTTAGTCAACTTTGTCTCTTTAGTGGATAATAAAGAATCAAATTGATATATTTGTATTTCCAGAAATGCCCACAAGCATTGGCATAAATAGCTGTCTGGGTTTCTGCCTGAGTGTCACAGGATGTTGCCAGGGTCTCTTCTTGCCCTTTCAGCATTGCCTGAAAACCCCAGTGCTGAGGACAGTAGGTGTTAAGTACCCCGTGTTCTCAAGATAGCAGAAAACCCCTGTCAGATATCGCTCAGACTGTCACATGGCAGGTGGGCCATTGCTGCTGTCATTAGCGCACTTGACCTTCCCAAGTGTCTGATAAACAGGACTGAGTTTTCAGGAAATAGAAGAATTCCTTAGAGTATCAAGTAGTGTGACACAGTGGAGACACAAGAGACGCAAGTTGTGTCCCTCAACGGGGAAAATCCCCTGCAGGAGGACATGACAACCCACTCCAGTGTTCTTGCCAGGATAACCCCATAGGTAAGGGAATCACAAAGAGTCTGGCTACAGTCCACGGGGTCGCAAAGAGTCAGCCACGACTGGGCGACTAAACACACACACAGCAGGTAGTAGGCTGCGGGGAGAGGAGGGTCCTGTGGTTTTCTCCCTTTCTTGGTAGTAGGACTCAGCTTCTTGAATCCATTGAAAAAGCCCAGAACTGATTATAGGAAGCCCTGGATATAGACCCCCTGCAGCCCGTGGGCAGGCTAGGCAGGGCCCTGACTGGCTAGCCAGTCCACCCAGCAGCCTCAGGTGGCCTCACCCTTTCAGCCAAACATACCTGGAGAATTTTACTGTGTCTCCCGTGTGTAGTGATGGAAAGAGGCTGGGGAGTGGAGCCACACGAGGTGGCATCCCCCTGCCCCAGCCACCTGAGGGGACCTCCAAGAGGGCTGCTTAGAGAGTACAGGCTTCCTACGAGAAGAGGGGTCGGCATCTCGTCCTGCAGCTGAATGCAGAGCTGCCCAGAGCCGAGCCACACCAGTGCTACCGCCCTCACAGCACATGGCGGGGGCCCTGAGCGGAGTGCATGTGAACGGTGGGCAGGCCTCCTGTATGTAACAGTTTAACCTCTGCTAATCCCGGACTCCCAGGCCTTCCCTCTCCCACCTGCCTGTGCAGCGTGGGGAACTATTTTTAACATCTTGTGGTAAACCACAGTGGAAAAGAGTATATAAAAAAGAATACCTACATGTGTATAACTGAGTCACTTTGCAATATAGCAAAAACTGACACAAATTCAATTTTTGAAAATTTAAAAAAATAACTGGCTAGGCCTTTTCAGCTAGAAAGTATAAGGCCCTGACTGACAAAACAATGAGAGAGGAGGGCTGAAGGGGAGGAGGGACAATGATGGTGTAAGGAGAGGAAAAGCTTTGAATTGAAACAAAGTTTAGAACTGACCTGGAATTTACTTGAGGAACATAAATCATCATTACCAGAGTCTGACCAATCACACCATTCTTATCATTGAAAATGACCCAACATCTATGTTGGGATTTGTTCCCACATCTGCCTGAAATGTAGGAAAAGAACAATTGACAATGTATGGATGAAGGCCACAATTAAAGAAAATACTTTCACCTTACCAGGTTCATACAGTTCAAAATATCTTATGTGCACTTGAGAACTCTTAAGGAAACAGTGCTCTTTTTCACCATATTTGGTAATATTTCTTTTATTCCAAACTTAACAGGCACTTAGCAAGGTTTTCCTGTGTGCCGGTAGACCGTATCTGAAAGAGAAAGCTGGGCAGTGAGAACCAGTTGCTCAGAAAGGTAGAGAGGATTAGGAAATGACAGCAGATATGAAAAAGCTGTAAATATGAGGCAAGAGCTGAATAAAACCAGAATGCAGAGGCAATAGCAAAAGGATCTCTACAGGGTCTCCTCACATAGCAACTGCTCTGTGGAAAGCCACACTGACAGGAAATATTCCAAGTGTCTGGGAAGTTTCCCCACTATTGCTGGCAAAGCATGCATCTTCTAATTTAAGACACCCAGTTGTGAAAGGAGTGATGAGAAATCAAAGTATATAGAAAAGAGAGAAATTTAAATTACTACCAGGGTCTGCAGAAAGATGAAAGGAGTAGCATTGCTTTTTGTGGAGGAAAATTATTTAATTGAGGCTTGAAAGTTTCTTTTTTCCTTTTACCAAACCCTTTTTTTTTTTATTGTTTTTAAGTTAAAAAAGAGTAAACTTTTATCAGCTAATAAATGACTGCAAGCCAAAGAAAACTTGCTGATATCACTAATTCTGTTTGAGATTTCAATTATTTTTTTTTTTAATATGTGAGGAGAGGCAGTCTGTCCTTTCAGCGTGTTCATCTCCACTTAACACAAATGATATTTTTGGCACAAGGCACCATGGATGTGGAAACTTGGATACTCTTAGAAGTAAGTCTCTCCACTGGGTGTGAGAAAAAGTAGGTACAAAGAGATTGAAAGTGGAAAAGGGAGTGAGCAAGTGTCGTTACGATGTGAGGAGGGAGCCGAGTGTGGGAAACACTGGAAAGAAAACGGCAGAGGCCAGAGTCAAGGGGGGTGCTAACTGTGTGGTTACGCTGTGTCTCCGAGAGCTCCGTGTGAGGTGGGGACACTCTGTGGGCTGAGTGTCTCGGTGACTTTTCATGGAGAGTGATCCTAAACTGAGTGGAAAATAACAGTCCTCAGTGACCTCTGAGTCTGAGTAGTCTAGGAATTTTAAAATAACACTGATTTCTGGTAGAGAAAACATTATCTATTCCTAAAATAAATCCGGAGGGAGGTCTACAAACTCATCTTGATAGTGTCAAAAAATATCAGACGATGACAGTTGATTAATACTGATGTGACAGCTTTTTGTGGAGTCTATTGTCATCACAGCATACAAACTAAAGTTTTGATTTTTAAAAATTAACGATGTCAGGGAATTCCCTGGTATACCAGTGATTGGGACTCTGTGCTTTCATTGCCGAGGGCACAGGTTCAATCCCTGGTCAGGGATCGAAGATCACATAAGCCAAAGTCTCAACCATGCTCCATCAAATCTTTCTCCCCTATACTAATGACACCTTGACAAGATTCCTTAACTTTTTGCCTTTGTTTGGCTTTTAACATATACTTCAAACCAATTGAAAAATCTCAGTCTTATTTCTAATTCAAAGTATTCTCCTCCCCAACCCAGATCAGCTCAGGGTAGAAGGAACGAGGTTGGGACAGAAGCTTGACTGGCTTGTTACACACCACCTTAGCTCCTATTCACCTCTCTCTCCTGGGCGCCACTGTTGAGGACAAATAGAAAATAAGGAGAGCGAAAGTCAGCTGTCTCTTTGCTTAACTGGCAGGGGTCATGGCCGCTCCCTGAAAGTTGTGTTGCTTCTTGAGCTCACTAAGGCTTGCCACTGATGTCCTCGGGAGCAGCCTTCAGGGGCTGAGTCTCTGGTGGATATGATGAGTGGGGTCTTTCGAGGGTCCTCTGGAGCCTCCCCGCTGCTACCTGACAGGGAGATGTGGCCCCGGCCTTGCACTCTCCTCCCCATACAAGCCCCTCCACTGTGTTGCTTCCCACTGCCTCCTGCTGCTATTTTCATCGGATGATAATAAGCTCACAGCATGCTCCCTTCTACAACATCTGCTCAATCTATGCAACACGTCCTCATCAGGGCATGTGGTGTGAATACGGGCCCCTGCCATGACAATTCTCTCCAGTTCTTTTTATCTCTGATTGGGTAGGTTCAGCACCAGGTCAAGTGTGCTGCCCAAAAAGGAACAGGTAAAAAAAAGTTCCTTCTTTTTCTTATGGGCATCCCTAAATTCATGAGCCCACCCATTGAAAGGGACAGAGCCTCTCACTATAGACACTGCCCTGATCATCTCATGAAGGAAAGGACTCCTAAGGACAACACATCCTCCTCTTCTTCCCAGTGTCCTTCTGAGGCTGGATGGGGTTGATAGTAGTAGGATTGGTTGGTTGCATTGTTGTGGGTTCTGAAGGGAGGCATCTGATACTGACTGCTAAAATCTCACTAGAAAAAGTCCTCTTTGTATGTGAGGCTCCTTGTCCCCACCCTGTCCTGCTGTGGACTCTGGTGACTGGTTTTGGAACAACAGGAGAAGTTCCATTTAACCTTCTGTAACAGTCATTAAAAAGTAATGTTTATGGGCATACCTGAAGATCATACTACGGAGAAGGCAGTGGCACCCCACTCCAGTCCTCTTGCCTGGAAAATCCCATGGACAGAGGAGCCTGGTAGGCTGCAGTCCATGGGGTCGTGAACAGTTGGACTGAGCGACTTCACTTTCACTTTTCACTTGTATGCATTGGAGAAGGAAATGGCAACCCACTCCAGTATTCTTGCCTGGAGAATCCCAGGGATGGGGTCACACAGAGTCGGACAGCAGAGTCTTTAGCAGCAGCAAAGATCATACTAAGTCAGTCAGAAAAGCAAATTATATGATATCAGTTATATGTGGAATCTAAAAAATAACACAAATTATTGTGTATACAGAACAGAAACAGACTCACAAACATAGGAAGCAAATTTATGGTTACCAAAGGGAAGAAGGATGTGGGGGAGGGATACATTTGGGAGTATGAAAGTAACAGATGCTAACTACTATACATAAAATAGACAAGCAACAAGAGTTCACTGTATAGCATGGGGAACTATATTCTATATTCAATATCTTGTAACAACCCATAATAGAAAGCAACCTAGAAAAAAGAAATATATGTATATATATATAACTGAATCACTTTGCTGCACACCGGAAACTAACATTATAAATCAACTATACTTCAAAAAAAATTTTTTTAAATAATGTTTAGAGGGAAGTCCTGATGGATCACATGTCTCTGGCTTCTCTAACAGACCCTGGTTGAGTACGGAGCAAATGTCACGATGCAGAACCACGCGGGGGAGAAGCCCTCCCAGAGCGCCGAGCGCCACGGACACAGCCTGTGCTCCCGGTACCTGGTGGTGGTGGAGACCTGCATGTCGCTCGCCTCCCAGGTGGTGAAGCTCACCAAGCAGCTGAAGGAGTGAGTGACCCGTTTGTTCCGCGAGAACCCAGTCTGGCTGGTCAGCATCGTGCTTAGGCGTCAGCCTGGTCCTCAGAAGGCTCCCTCGCGCGGCTGGTGCAGGGAGTGCCTAGCGTCGTCCTCATCTTCTTTTCTTCCCTCGTTGCAAGTCCTCACAGCCAGTGTTCATGCTGAAGATGCCATCGCTGTGGAGGCAAAATGACATTTAAGCAAAAAAAAGAATGCAGAGCAAGCTTCCTCAGAAGGAAACTTAAGCCACAGTGGACTAGGGGAGAGAGCCTCTCTCTGTCTTCACATCTCGGGGCCCCAGATGATGTAGCGGGCGCAGAAAGCACATGTGGGCATCTTTCCAAACTTCTGTCTTTAATAGTTCAGCAAATTAGAAAGAGCATGAGAGAGAAAGGTTCAAGATGAGCCAGTTTCTCAGTTTTCTGAAAAAAGGAAAATGTATATTTGGGAAAGTACAGGTACCCTGGTAGCCATTGCTGCAAATTTATTATAAAAATTAAGCAGACAATTCACAAGTCCTCAGAATGGAGAATCCTCAGAATGTGAACTCAGCATGACGTTACTTAAAACACTCTTTGTCTAGTTAAGCTTGGTTCTTTTTCTGATGAAATGTTGAAGCTGGTGCACATTGCATAACTAGATGTCAGGGAAGCATGGCTGGTAAGTTGCCATGATGTGCTTGAAAAAAGGAGGGCCAAAGGAGAGGCCTTCTTGGGGCTTCTCAAGCAGGTTGAAGGACTAAGAGCGGATGCCCCTCTAAGGGGACAGAGGTCAGCCCTTGGAGAGCACATTGGCCGAATGACAGTTGCCATACTGGTAGGGGAATCATTGAAAATCAAGAACAGCACTCAAAGTAATGGTAACAGATTAGGAGGACAGACCTTAAAAATTAAGTTTCAGGGGAGAAAAGTGAAGTTTTACTTTAAAATTATAAAAAATATTTTTTTTCTTCTTTCCTTGTGAAAAAAGATCTGTAGTTGGTAGGAGGCCTTAACTGGTTAAAAGTTAATTCATGCAACAGTGTGACAAGTCCTTAGATCCTCTGGCTCCTCACTAAACTTGGGAAACATTTCTCTCTCTGCTTCTGCTCTAGTGCCTTAGAGGTTAAGAGTTTCTGCACTCCTCCACCCTTCCCCTGTCAGTACCTAGAATACTGTCTCTAATGAGTTTAGGCTTTCACTAGAAAAAAATTTAAACTTAAAAATTAGAGGGGTTCCTTTCTCTCCAACAATCCTCTGCCCAGTTACATAAGACTCCCCTGGGATAGATGAGCTAAGCAAGCTTTGAAGGTCTGGATGTAACTGAAGGGGAAGTGCACAGAAATTCCTAACTCCCTTCAGGAAGTTATCTTGTCAAGGCAAACATACTTGTACACATGTCTTTATGTACATGTATAGGTATTTCTGAAAAGAAGTTCCTAGAAAAGGAATTGCCAGAACAAAGGGGCATGCATGTGGGTTGTTGTTGTTGTTAGCCACTAAGTCATGTCTGATTCTGTGACCCCATGGACTGCAGCACACCAAGCGTCCCTGTCCCCCCACCGTCTCCCAGAGCTTGCCCAAGTTCATGTCCCTAGAATCAGTGATGCTATCCAACCATCTCATCCTCTGCCACCCTCTTCTTTTGCCTTCAGTCTTTCCCAGCATCAGGGTCTTTTCCAGTGAGTCAGCTCTTCACATCAGATGGCCAAAATATTGGAGCTTCAGCTTCAGCATCAGGCCTTCCAATGAGTATTCAGGGTTTATTTCCATTAGGATTGACTGGTTTGATCTCCTTGCTGTCATGATACTTGTAGATAGATGCTGCCTAATATCCTTCCAGAAATGGTGTACCAGTGGATACTCCCCCCAGTAGTGTATGGACATATCCATTGAGAGGAACTTTAAAATAGTCCAATGGAATGTTTTTTCTAAAGGTTTGTACTCAGAGAAAAGACTGCAAAACACGTTCCCCTCAATCTCTCAGCACAGAGTCAGAGAGGCTTTCCTGAGCTGAAGCAGTTGCTTTATGGGTAGAACTCTTCAAGGTCAGGGTCTTGGCTGCTCTCTCTGCTGATGATCCTGGGATAAAACACACATGTACAGTAATAGACAGAAGTTATTCCACTGTCTCCAAACTGAAGGCTGTAGACAGTTGTAGTCAAGCCAATGAGAATATGAAATATGAGAGGTTATGCTAGAGACCCTCGTTTGTACTTACTGTGTGTCTCAGTGAGGCTGGCAAAACTAAAACAGAAATTCACTTACTTTATTTAGTCCACTGTACCCTTCCGACTCTAGGGCACCAATAACATAAAAATGTGCAAGAGGAAGGATGGAAAACACTAGTTTTTCAGTCCAAAATTGTGACTGGGAGACAATCTTGAGCACCTTTTCCTCCTAGAATATTTTTACCAGTCCTTCATCAACATAGCTGTTATTTAGAAGTGGCACCCTTCAGCTCTCTTAGGCATCCTGATCTATAGGTGTATCAATGGGTTGAACTGTGGCCTCATAAAATGATGTGTTGGAGTCCTAACCCCTAGGACTTTGGAATGTGAGCTTATTTGGAGATGGGTCTTTACAAAAGTAATCAAGTGAAAATGAAGCCATAGGATTGGGCCTAATCCAAGATGATTGGTGTCCTTGCAAAAGGTGAAAATCTGGACACAGAGACAGACCCACACAGGGAGAAGATAATGTGCACATAAAGGCAAAGATCAGGGTGATTCATTTAGAAGTCAGAGAATGCCAAAGAGTGCCAGTGAACCACCAAACACTAGGAGAGAGGCATAGGGCCAGTTCTCCCTCAGCCCTCCAAGGAGCCAACCTTGTCAACACCTTGGTTACAGACTACTAGCCTCCAGAACTGTGAGAAAATAAACTTCTGTTGTTTAAGGAAGGCAACTTGTGGTACTTTGTTAGAGCAGCCTAGCAGACATACTGGACAAATGCTCACATGTTTTCATATATTCATATTTCATATGCTCATATATTATAATTAAAGTTGATTATTCCTTTCTGAGGGCTTTTTTAGATTCTAGAGAATAGAGTCCTTTTTTTCTCCATCCATACCTGGGATTCCTGTCATTAGTCATCCTAACTGCCTCCAAATAGTTTTCTTGACTGTGTCATAATTCACATTGACACCTAAAAACCCTTTAAAAGGAGACTCTAATCTTGCTTCATCTATTTTAATCCCTCACCTAATGTTTTTCTAGGACTTCCCTGGTAGCTCAGACGGTAAAGCATCTGCCTACAATGCCGGCGACCTGGGTTCAATCCCTGGGTCAGGAAGATCCCCTAGAGAAGGAAATGGCAACCCCCTCCAGTATTCTTGCCTGGAAAATCCCATGGACTGAGGATCCTAGTAGGCTACAGTCCATGGGGTCACAAAGAGTCAGACACGACTGAGTGACTGAGCTGAGCTGAGCTGAGCTAATGTTTTTCTAAAATACTTGCCAGGCAATACCAAATTTCAAAGTAGGAAAAGTAGAAAGCTCCTGTGTATTTTTTGTTTTTTGTTTATTCTTTAGAATAGGGTCAGCAAACTATAGACTATATACTGAGGCCCAATCCACCCTACCACCTGTTGCTTTTTTTTTCCATCACCTGTTTTTGTAAATAAAGTTTTATTGAAACAGAGCCATACACATTCTCTTACATATTACTGAATGTTGATTTCACAACTACATAAGCTGAGTTGAGTAATTATGACACAGAACTTGTGGGGTACAAGCCTAAAATATTTAATATTTGACCCTTTAGGGAAAAGTTTGCTGGCTTCTGCTTTATTTCAGTGTGTGAGTCACAGAATGAGTGAAATAAAATAAGATCACAGACTTTTTAAGTCTTAGGGATGGAATGTTAGTACTAAGACTGACCACTTCTGAGAAAAGGAGAATATCTGGGGCTGGTGGAAGAGTATTATGCAAATCTGATCTCTCAGAATTAAATTTAGGTAGCCAACAGCTTGTTGAGTATGTGCAGTGACATTTGGCAAGAAGATTGAACTTCCTCAAGCCAGCATCAAAGATTCAGCAACCCTTTTAAGAACACTTATAACTCATTGGTTTAGTTCTTCCTCCTGACTTATGGGAGCTGCTACCAGTTTTGATGCTTAGTTTTCTACTCCTGTAACAAATTACCACATACTTAGTGGTTTAAAACAATGGACATTTATCTTACAGTTCTGTAGGTCAGAATACCAGAATGAATCTCTCTAGATTAAAATCAGGGTACTCACAGTCTGCTTTCCTTTCTGGAGACTCTTGGATGAAAGTCTGTCTCCTGCTCATTCAGGTCATGTAGCAGAATCAGTTTCTTGCTGAAGTATCTGTTTTCTTGCTGTCAGCTGAGAGTCATAGACAGCTCCTCGAGGCTGCTGCATTGCTTGGCTCACAGCCGCTTCCTTCATCATCCAAGTCCCCAACAGCAGGTAGAGTCCTTACCACACTTTAAGTCCCTCTGATCTCCTTTTCTGCCTCTCTTCACTGTTACGCATGTGGTGAGATTGGACCCACCCCTTAATCCAACCTTTTTATCACATAAAGTAACATAATCACATCTTCCAGGGATTAGGATGTGATAGACATCTTTGGGGCGGGGGAGGGGACAATGGGGAATACCACAGGAATACTACAGAGGTCAGTAAATACTGCTTCGCTCTCTAAAATCAGAATCAGTTTAATTTACTTTTTCAAGTTCTATAATAATTTGTGTTTTCTAAACAGATTTTACCTTCTTTAACCTATGACTTTTAACCTATTTGCTTAACTTTAAATAAAGCACATTCTGATGCATATGCTTCTATGTCCAGAGTAACTCAACTGTTGCCATACACAGTTTTCTTTTTATACAAAAAATACCAAATGATTTACCTGGTAGCTCAGCGGCTTCCCTGGTAGCTCAGCTGGTAAAGAATCTGCCTGCAATGTAGGAAACCCTGGTTCGATTCCTGGGTCAGGAAGTCCCCCTGGAGAAGGGAAAGGCTATCCATTCCTACATTCTTGGGCTTCCCTGGTGGCTTAGACGGTAAAGAGTTTGCCTGCAGTTTGGGTGACCTGAGTTCAGTTCCTGGTTGGGACGATCCCCTGGAGGAGGGCATGGCAACCCACTCCAGTACTTTTACCTGGAGAATCCCCCTGGACAGAGGAAACTGGGAGACTCCAGCCCATGGGGTTGCAAAGAGTCAGACACGACTGAGTGTCTAAGCACAGCACAGCATACCCAGCATGGAAGCAGTTTGCTTGCTTTGTTTGATTTAGCTTTTTTCTGATGGCTAAATTAATTCAATTACTTTGTAAATTCAGACAATTTAGGGAGAGTGAGTAACATTTTGGAGTATATCCTTCTAGCTTGGGGTGTGGGTGGGGGTTGGGGAGAGAGAGAGAGATTTCTTAAAAATGAAATAATGAGATTATATTACACACAGTATTTTGTAACTTTTTTTTTTTACTTAAGGAAAGTAAATTGCACTCTGTGTGTATGTGTCTGTTTATATAAATACACTTCATACTGTATACTTTATATGTATACACACACACATATATTAGGGAAGCTTTTTCTATGTCACAAATATTGAGATATATTATTCTTAATTGCTGCCTTCCTATAAATAATTATAAATTGATTTACTCAGTCTTAGTGATGAGCATTTATGTTACAGCTTTCTTACTAATGAGCTTCCCAGGTGGCGCTAGTGGTAAAGAACCTGCCTGCCATGTGAATAATAAATATCTTGTTGAGTACTTTTGACTGTATCCTTAGGAAAATTTCTGAATTATAAAGGTGAAGATTATGCCTATTTGCAAGGCTTTTGAATTTATTGCAACGTATTGCAAATTATCATGAGAAAATGTATATCTATTAATTTATAGTAGTAGCCATGTGTCAGAGAACTTATTTGTTTTGATTTGTTTTTCCCAGACAGACAATGCAACGTGTCACACTGCAGAACCAGCTCCAACAACTTCTAGAAGCCCAGAAATCAGAGGGCAAGTCACTCCTTTCTTCACCCAGGTAATACCAGGAGTGGTGGTGGCTAAGACTTTTAAGTGTCTTTAATCTCTGAGCCATTTTCTTGGACTTTCTTTTAATATGTTTTTAGAAGATAACAACAGAAGACATTTTATTTTTATAAAGAGGAATAAAAATGAGCTATCACAGGGAAGAAGGCACTGGATCTAGGGTCAGAAGACGTGAGTTTATCTCTGGCCTCTGCCATTTCTTCTTTCCATGACTATACACAAGTCACTTACTCTTTTAGAGTCTTTTTTCCTTCATCTATAAAATGGAAATAAGGATATGTAGGCTCATAAGGTTTTTGATGATGGGATTGGGAAAATTTGTGCAAAATTGATGTGTAAAAAAACAAAACACTAGATACATTTGGTAGTCATAGCATAAGGTATGAGGCATCCCATTCTGGTTGTGGCTGCCACCATGGAATGTTTGTAGTCTGATTGAAACAGACATTATTCTTATTTCAGTCTTAGTGATGCGGAAGTTATTCGCAGCGGTAAAGCCACGCAGTGATTTGTGGCTGAGTTATTTTAACCAATAGGAGACCATCTCATATATCCTCCATCCTCTTGCAGTTCACCATCCTCCCCAGCTTGCAGAAAGCCCCAGTGGAAGTCCCCAGACGCAGAGGATGAGTCTGTAGCCAAAAGCAAACCTGGACTCCAGGAGGGGATTCAGGTTCTTGGAAGCCTGTCAGCATCCAGCCGGGCTAGGGCCAAAGTGAAAGACGAAGATTCTGATAAAATCCTACGTCAGTTATTAGGAAAAGATATTTCAGAGAATGTCTGCACCCAGGAAAAGCTGTCGTTGGAATTCCAGGATGCTCAGACTTCCTCGAGACATTCCAAAAAGATCCCGCTGGAGAAGAGGGAACTGAAGTTAGCGCGGCTGAAGCAGCTGATGCAGCGGTCCCTGAGCGAGTCTGACACGGACTGCAACAACTCTGAGGACCCCAAGGGCACCCCTGTGAGGAAGGTTGACAGGCCCAGACCGCAGCCCATTGTGGAGAGCGTGGAGGGCGTGGACAGCGCAGAGAGCCTCCACTTGATGATCAAGAAACACACCTTGGCATCAGGACGCAGGTTTCCTTTTAGTATCAAGGCCTCCAAATCCCTGGAGGGCCACAGCCCGTCCCCCACCTCTGAGAGCAGCGAGCCGGACTTGGAACCCCAGTGTCCGGGCTCAGGAAACAGCCCCCCGAGCCACCCCTCTGGAGAAGCCCCTCAACCCAGCCCTGACAGCACCGCGGCCCAGAAGGTGGCCACGAGTCCCAAGAGTGCCCTCAAGTCCCCGTCGTCCAAGCGCCGGACATCTCAGAACTCAAAGCTCAGAGTGACCTTTGAGGAGCCGGTGGTGCAGATGGAGCAGACTAGCCTGGAACTCAATGGAGAAAAGGAGCGAGAGAAGGGCAGGGCGCTCCAGCGGCCGTCCGCGGGGAGCGAATCAGGGGATCAGCTCAAAAGGCCTTTTGGAACCTTCCGGTCCATCATGGAGACGCTCAGTGGCAACCAGAACAATAATAATAACTATCAGGCATCCAACCAGCTGAAGACCTCCACCCTCCCCTTAACCTCCCTTGGGAGGAAGGGGACGGACGGTAAGGGAAACACCGGGAGCTCTGGTAGCAAAGGAAAAAATAAGGCGGTGAGTGCTGTTTGGAGAATGTCCCTTTTATTCCTTTAAATTAATGATGCTATTCCTAACACCACAGATTACAGCCCTTGGCCACCTTGAGGGAATCCCCGGAAGAATTCTAAAGGATGCATGGAAAAACAGACGCCAGCGTTTCTAATGAGATATGTTGTGTTGAGTACCTTTTACTCTTCCTTTGGAAATTGAGAGAGGATGATTAAACAGGTCACAGGAGATTATATCCTGTTCCCTAGATTTGCCCAAGTAGTTTGATCGTTGAGAATTAGGAATTGTAGACAGGGAGGCATTTCTACAGGATTAGACTACAAAATCGATGTGGAATCAGGCCTCTCTTTGTCCCTGATTCTGCCTCAGGAAGAGTTAGTTCTCCTCATGTGACTGGACAGTTTATTCTCGAGCCCAGTTAAACAGCATACAAATAGAAATTCTATTTCTAAAGACTTAGCTACTCAGTTTTAGAAAGACCTTAGGAATGAATACACCACAGGGACCTCCAGACTGACATTTCATGACACAAGCCCCTAAGGAAGCCCTAGTGGTCTACACTGCTTGCCAGCACACAGGGGATGGCAGAGTGTGTGCCATGAACTACACTGTGTAATTGCATTTATTGTAAAACCACAAGTTATAATCTGGATTAAAATCCTGTGAATAAGAGATACGAACATCTTTTTAAGTGATGTTTCCTGCATGCTTTGTGCCTGCTAGGCCCTTAAAAACAGCAGCCAAAATGTGGTATAGCAGCCAAAATGTGAAACCCTCTGTGGAAAAGGAGGACCCGGAATATCCTTCATGGTAACTAGAGAGTCAACACCTGCATAACTTATTATCTGTTATAAGGTACAGCCCCATTCCAGTGAGGTCTAAGAACTGTCCAGACTCTCTTTGCAGTACCAAAATCAAAGTTTTAGTTAATGTAACTCGAATTAACAGCACACAAGTTTTAATTGCACATTGCAATTGCTTTTTTATAAAAGACTTTAGCATGTATTTCCACTCCAGTACTCTTGCCTGGAAAATCCCATGGGCAGAGGAGCCTGGTAGGCTGCAGTCCATGGGGTCTCGAAGAGTCGGACACAACTGAGCGACTTCACTTTTACTTTTCACTTTCATGCATTGGAGAAGGAAATGGCAGCCCACTCCAGTATTCTTGCCTGGAGAATCCCAGGGACGGGGGAGCCTGGTGGGCTGCCGTCTAAGGGGTCACACAGAGTCAGACACGACTGAAGTGACTTAGCAGCAGCAGCATGTATTTGCTTCAGCTTAGAAAAGTCACGCTTGTGCCCTGAACCCCAGGCCCTTTGGATTAAATATGTCCAAACTTACATTGCTGGAATATAACTTTTCCAGGTAACTTAATGGGTCCTGTCACTGAGGAGCCAAAGATCTCAGCAGTTCCCCATGCACCTTAAAGTGTGTCCGAAGCTTCTCTCCTTTAACCTGTCTCTGCACGCCTCCTGTTTATCGAGACTTGTGCATGTGCTAAGCTTGTTGCATGTGTTCAGATGATTTTTAATTGCACCTCTCTAGGAGATGTACGGCAGCTGCATCAATCTTTCCTCTAACACGCTGATTGAAGAGCATCTGCGTGACTATGCACGGTACGTGGTGCTGGGGTGTACCCACAGCAGGGCCAGGCCTTCGCTTTAAATTGTATGACGTTTACAGTGGTGGTCCTAGGGCATCTTTTGCAGGCGCTGACAGCTAGGAAGTAGAAAATTACAACGCCTCCCCCAAATAGAAGCTGGCAGATTTGTAACTGGTCCTTAGAAAGGGAGCAGGTACCATCTTGGAGGGGCTTCATTCCAGCAGCCAAGGGCAGAAGAGTCTACTCATATCACAAATAAGCTTGCTTCCCAGCTGACCTTGACTTTCAGTCTTTGTTTTAATGGTGGGCTTTCCCGGTAGCTCAGATGGTTAAGAACCCACCTGCCAATGCAGAAGAGCCAGGTTTGATCCCTGGATCGGGAAGATCATATGGAGAAGGGAATGGCAACCCACTCCAGTATTCTTGCCTGGAGAATTCCATGGACAGAGGCGCCTGGTGGGCTGCAGTTCATCGGGTTGCAGAGGGTCAGACAAGACTGAGCAACTAATACTTTCATGTTCTTTCACATGAGTAAGTATAAAAATGACACTTTCTGCCATGGGTGGAGTGAGTCAGCCTCCTATCATAATCAGAACTTTGAAACCGAACTGAGGTTCTTCATTGCTGGTTATAGACTGAAAGCTGCTTTAGTTAGCAATCTGCTGCCCTCAGGAGAGCTGAGGTCCTGCCATGCTGAAGTTAGTTCAGTGTTCAGAACTGCAATGCTGGTCTATAAGCCAGGCTGTGAGAACCCACCACCACCACCACCAACAAAAAAAGGCCTTTCTTCAACACAATATTTGTGATTCAAAAGGCATGGACTGTGTATATAGAAGGATCATCTCCAAGGTGCCCAGTGACGCAGGCTGCTCCTTGAGCAAAGTCCTCCTTCAGCATAGCTTTTACTCACCCCAGGATACACACAGCTCCCCAACAGAGCAGGAGTCAGGGCAGTGCTTAGAAGAGGGCAGCTGACAGGGAGGCACTGCAGTCAAGTGCCTCTGGACAGGCTTATTCCAGGAGAGATAAACCCCTAGCCCCCTTTCAGAAGGACTAATCATTTAAATTAAGACTATGGCATGCCTTTTAGCACCCTTCCCAAATCCTCCAAAGTGTTTGTGTGGAGATGTGTTTATAGATAATAATTACAGATACACAAATACAAGCAAATATGTTGTGGATATAAATGTTCGTTCAGAATTCTAAGGTGTAAGAAATGTCACTCTCTTTTTCTTTCCCTCTAAATCAAATTTAATCCGCTTCATGTCTCCGTTCAGGCTGGAGGAAAAGTAAATCTGTCATTTTACAGGGTCCCCCTAGGGAGCTCATTAATTCCATACATAAGTTGAAGGAAGCCCCTTGGAGCTCTGGTATTTACAGGTCACCCTCGTTCTGCTCAGGTCAGGCTCACATGTTGCCTAAGTCTGGGCTGCTTCCCACCACACTGGGGCAGGGCATCTTGGCCAGTGCTAAGAGCCCGGTGCCTGGGTTGGGAAGGAAATAGAAAAAAAAATACCCATTCCCTTCCCAGACTTTGGTATCAGCCCACTTCTGTTTCTCCCAGCCTATCTTGACCATCCTTGTACCCGTCTGTGTCCGCATGTTAGGTTCTGTCTTCTAGCGCCTGGAAAATTCTGAGTTTGTCCTTAAAGGGAAATCACCAATAATACTCTAAGGCAAGGAAGCACAAAGGCTTGGGGAACTCCTTTGAAGCAGGAGGGAAAATCCCTCTTGTTTCTTCCAGGCTCCCACAGCACCTGAAAACAAGATAATTAGTATCACAGTAGATTCTCCTGCTAGATATATTTCATCCTGTCTTCTTACAAGCAGGAGAACAAAGCTAGCAGTCTACTATAATAGGATTACAGAAATCAGAGCACAAAAGGAGGTTATGAGGCTACTCAGATATCTGACAGCTGGGTTAACACTTTCCTTCTCAGTTAAAGGAACAGTCCTTCTGAAGACTCAGTTTTGAACCAATCAGATTCACTGGCTTCATGTATTAAGAGAGTTTTCTTTCAGTGATAAGGAGAAACCCCAAAATTATAATTATAATTCAGTTTATTTAGATAAACATCCAGACCCCCTCACTCTCCCCACCATATAAAATCAACATGTATTTTATCATGGTTTTAGTTTGGCATGTGTTCCATGAAAAGTGAAAAGGCACCAGTTTGTTCACTGTAGAGTGAGAAGTTTTCTCCTATTCACTCACCACACACAGAGGTAGGGAGGGCCAGCCCAGCTCACTCCTTAGATAAAGTAAGGATGGCTGTATCTAGTTGAAATAAAGATCCCTCAGAGAAATAAGCTAGCATGGGAATGTGGACATGCAAAACACCTATTAATTCTTGTTTTGCCTTTGGGATCCATAGCAAGGGCATCTCACAGAAAGAGGCAAAAAAAAAAAAAAAAGGGAAAAAGCTGAAGTGCCTCTCTATCAGTGATGCCTTCAAATCTTGACCCAAGAATTTTCTTGAAGGCCACACGGTTCCTCTGGGAAGCAGGGATTGCTTGGGATCATGTAACTTGGAAAGCAGTGGGTTGAAGTTGGCTCTAAGCATTATGCCACTGGTGACCCTATCAGAATGTCCCTGGGAGAAAGAGAGGGGCAGTGGACCCTTCTTCCAGCCCTATCCTTGCATCATGTTTTAGTTCCTAAGATTGTTTTTCTTAGTAAAGGAAAAATAGAGAATGAATACAACATTCTAATGTCAGCTCTGTGAAGGGAATTCTGTTTGCTATTTATTTTTCCAATTGGTCACAGTTTGATAGCAAAGAATCTCAATGTCTTTTCAATGCCCTTTAAAGTTAGATTCAACTCTGTTACTTGGAATAGTTTCCCAGTGTGTTTCAACTGCAGAGGATGACTTTGTATATAACAAGCAGATTTATCTTTACTTTTTCTTATAAAAGACAAATCGGTTTTGAATTATTACAACTCCAAGGGAATGTTGGCAGTTACTTATCTTAAAATGCCAATAAGACATTCATTTCCCAGAGTTTAAGTCTATGTGAGATCTGTAACACATAAAGTGAGCATCGATTCCAGCCCCTGATAGGCAGACGGCATTAACCCTGGTCACCACTGGTCATATCCTCTCTGACCACAGTGGGACCATGGCCTGAGGGGTTAGCATCAGGAAGCCCCTAATCCTATCACCAACATGAGAGCAGACTCCTTAAAAAGACATTAAGCAATAAACACCATTAGTGTGGGTTTTACTGCCAAGGAATTAGCCACGCTGGGACTTATACATCCGGAGCCAAGAGCTAGTAGCACATATTTCATATAGATGTCAAGATTGTTCAACAGCCACTTCAGAAAGAGTGGTGAATTTGGCCTGAAATGATGTAAGGATATGGCAGTGGTCATCTGCTGTGCCCAGTTGGAGGTTAGAGTTCAGGATACCCCTACTATGCACGTGCATACATACACACACATATCTGTCCTTTAGCATGTCCTTTAATATGTCAGGACATATTACTGAACAGAAAAATGAGCCAAAGACGGAAAGACATCGGGAAGGTAGAGGTGAGGCCCTGGCTGAAACCAGTCCCAAGCAGTGTATACCACGGCCCCTCTGAACAGCATTCCAGAATCGTGATAGAAAATGCAGGGAGAACAAAAAGGCATCTCTGATCCTGGTAACTAAAGTATTTTTGCCATCATTTATCTGGGTATAAATCAAATAACCACACCTTAATCTTAAATTTCTGACCTGAAAGTATTTTCAACTCATAGGCTTTTTAGAGATTCTTGAAGGGATAATTATCTAGCCATAGGAGTGTGACCAAACTAGCTGAGATTATGTTGATTGCATAGTTCTAGACTGAATCCCTGAGGGCAGACAATCTCATCACTTTAACAGTTCAGAAAAGCTAGTTAGAGTGCTAGTACTAAAAGGGGGTTTGGTAACCCTCTAGACAGAGTTTCTGCCCCCACACCACAGTTTTATGTTCTAATCTCTGATGTGAAGTATATCTTTCTGTGTTTTTGCATCTAATATACTAGTTCTGGGGTCCAGAGCCAGGAGAAGTTGGTGTACCTGGGGTGACCACCTCTGCCTCAGAAAGCCCTGGAATTTATCTGACTCCTTTCCCTATAGCCCTCCCCACATTTGCCCAGTTTTCTCCTGCTCAGCTCTTGTCCCGCCCTCCCCCACCTCCGCCTCCCTAGGATTCACATTCATTTCAGAGAGAAAACCTGCATTTCATACAGGTTCCTATGATGTGTCCCAATCTGGAACCATTTCTCCAGATTACATCCATTAAGTAACAGCCTGTTCTTTGAAATGGGTCACAGTTTTGCACTGTTTTTGGCTGTTGCCTAGTAGAATCTTGTGTGTGGAGAAAAATGCCCATGTGATGGAGAATTGTTCACATGAGCAGCTCTTTCCAGCGTCTGGGCACAACTTAGCAAACCCTTTATAAAATCTGCCAGAGTTTGCAAGATTCATGAGACCGTTATTCACACATGGAGTTTTTATTCATAAGTTCCTTATACCCTCTGGGAAAAGGAGAAAGCATATTCTATCATAGGAAGACAGTAGAACAAGGTTTAATATCAAAATGTGATGAGTTGAGACATAGAAGAAGCTATTGCAAATAAGAACCCATGTTCTATCTCAAAACACTGCACTTGGAAGGCAAGAAATGAACATGTGGAAAACCTATGAGCTGCAGGTAGGAGGGGACAGAGGGGAGATCTACCTTGGAAACCAAAATCCTCCCATTAGAAATACACTCTTTCAGCATACTCATCTGGTTTAAGTGTACTCCCAACAGTTATGAACAAACAGTTCCCTTCTCCCACCTCCACCTTCCTTTCCTCTCCCTTCCCCTCCCCCAGAGTCCGGTTTTGAATTGTGTGACTCCAAAGGGGATGAATGTCGAACCAGTGTCATATTTGTGCCACATGTCTGCCACTACTGCAGTGTCTTTACACATTAAACTGTCTATGAACTGTCTTAGGCCTGGAGTTTTAAAGAAGCCGTAGTCACTTGAGTTTTT